GCGGGCGCCTCCTTGGCCCAACCCTCCACTTGGCCGACTCGTGTAACCAAGACTGCCTGGGTGCTCTCAGGAGTGCAAAGCAGATGGGGGAGGAGCCTCACATTCTTTCTACAATCTTCTAGGGCCTGGAGCCCCCACCCCCAGCCCTAATCCCACCCTCAGGACTGCGCTGGGGACACTGAGGACTGGTATTTTGAAGAAGCCATGAAGGATTCGCACATTGCACAATGCTCCAGACCCCTGTGTGTGTGTGTGTGGTGGGGGGGGGCGCTTAGAAAGCCACAGCCTCAAGCGTGTCCCCTTCTCAGCCCTTGATGTTCACTAGAACCACTTAGGGAGCTTCGAGCACTTGGTCCTTGGGCCCCCACCCCAGATGGATTAAATCAGAGCCACCAAAAGCAGGGCCCACGAGCTGGTGCATTTCCAAGGTTCTTCGGGTGGTCCTGCTGCACCAGGGTTCAGCCCCTCCACCCAGAACCTGTTCCGCCCACCACTGATGCTGTTAATTTTATAGACATGACTGGGGAATTCTAGGGAAGGTGGTTTTGTTTTTATTTTTACTTTTAGTTGTTGTTACATTGTATCTGGTAAGGATATCCCTAGGCGGCTGAGCTGTTCGCACCATTCTGCCCAATCTGAGCAAGATCGTTCATTCACACGTTCATTCACACATACAGCCTGCAAGGGACCGAGGGCCAGAGCATCTGACCATGGCCCTGGGCCTGCCCATTTAACGAACTGAAAATCAGAGATGCAGCGACATCCCCGGAACACCTGAGTCTGGAAATTTCAGATCTGTAGGAGCCGGGCAGGAAGTAAAGCCTTGGTAGAAAGACAGTGATTCTCTGTAGGGTGTGTGGGGCACAGGTGTGTGCAAGGGGGTGTGCATGAGGTCATGCATGTGTGTGTGTATGTATAGGTGCACTGTGTCTGCATGTGCAGGGGCACGCATTTGCGTGTGCCAACGGGGTGCATGTGAACATTCATGCAGGCACGTGTGCATGTGGGTGTGCATGCAGAAGCCGCATGAGCATGTGCATATGTTTGCGTGTATGTGAATGGGTGTGCACTGTGTGCATGTGTGCATGCATGTGGGTCTGTATGTGTGCATGTGTGCATATATATGCATGCACATGTATGAATGCATGTGAGTAGTGAAGGAGATGGCAGCAGGGGGGCATTTTCCAAACTTGACACTTTTCACCAGGGCCTCACCTTTAGGGCCTCCATCATCACTGCCCTGAGAGGGGCAATGGCAGGCGTGCTGCCCACAGGCCAGGGCAGTGGCCAGAGGAGGAGGCAGTGCACTGGCCAAGAACTCAGGGTGAGGCTGAGAGAGGAGAAACCCAGCCTGGGCTGAGAAGCAGAATGATCAAGTTACACTCCCACCTCCCAAGGAGCCTTGTCAAATTTCTGCTCCTCACTGAGGAAGGACAATTCTCCTAAGCGCCGTGTTGGGCTGTCACGAATGTGTGGAAGAAGCCTGCCCATCGCTTGAGGGTGCATAGAGGAAGGACGTCCTCACCTCCCTGGTCCCAGATCTTGCACGGTCAGAAGGGAGGAACTGAGCTGAGCTCTGTTGGATAAATGAGACTTTGCCTAACCTTGCAGTGGAGCGAGGTGTCTGAGATCCTGACAGAGGGAGGTTCCATACTCACAAGGGATGTTATGTGTAGCAGAGCCCAGGATGAGGGGAGGACAGCTCCCTCCCCCAGAATTCTTCCTGCTGCACCTTAGGGTCTCTGAGGACCCACGAGTCAAGGGCCACCAGACCCTCACTTAGTGCTCTGCCTGAGGCAGGTCTGGCCCATGGTGAGCTATAGCCACTGGCTGTGCCACCCACACACAGCTCAAGACCTCTTCAGCTTCCCTGGCCAGGTCCCTTTTCCTCTCCCTCCTCCTCATCTCTGCCCCATCTGATTTCCTGTAGGAAGCTTCCAGGCCAGGGAAAGACTGCATCTTTTCATGATCTAGCTGCAAACGCTAGCTGTCTCTGCAGGGTTCTGCTCCGCAGACGATGTGGCTGCGTCTCCCGAGCTCTCTGCTCGGATAGCAAGGCGAGTAGCAGTGGGCGCTGGGAGGTGGCAGGTGGGCGCACTTCAGCCCCAGAGTGGCCTGCACGACGACGCAAACAGCTGGATCTGACAACCAAATGTCACCAGAGCGAGAGCCGGAGTGAGGCACGTGCTGTTTCCTTCTCCCAGCTTTGGGAGCGAGTCTGTGGGTTCAGCACCAGCGCTTGGGGACAGCTCCCAGCCTGGCGGGAGCTCTGCTACTGCAAGGCGGGCACCTCCTCCGCTAGAGACGCTCCCTGCCTGGACTGGACTTCCCAAGGTTGCCACAAGCGCGCGGCCTCTTCATTAGCCCCTGTCACCAACCTGCCCCTGTTCTATATCCTCACATGTGCCGTTCCCTCTAGAGACACTTTTTTTAAAATCAATACTGGAGACAAGTGCATTACCCTAAAAGAATGATTCCAGCAGTGTGAATTTCAGGTCTTGAGGACGAAACCTTTGAAATCACTAGGTACTTTAGTGGCCTCCTGAGCCACCCAACCCAGGCACAGCCTCCTCCTTCCCTATTCATTACAACTGGCCCGGGTTCCTCCCTCTGACCGGGTCACAGGGCAGTCTCCGGGTCGCAGGAAAGAACTGCAGAGGCTGAGTAGCTGCCCGGGCCCTAGGGACCTGGGATTGTGGATGGCCCCGTCCCTGGCAGCGTCCTCCTCCCTCTAACACTCCTGTACTGCAGGGCACCAGCGCTGGCAGCCAGGAGGAAAACGCCGATCAGAAATAGAGACAACTAGAACAAACAGTCCAGCGAGGTAGCGGGCAGGCTCTGGGGGTGGGGCTCACATATCCGCTTGAAAACCACCTGAGAGTAAGCTCACGGGCTGACGAAGAAGTTTTTTCACAAGCGAGCAACTCGGAGGCCTTTCTCAGTTATGCCCTGAGGAGCAAACTCATCACACGTGGGCGCGGGGAGAGAGGCTGGGGAGTCGGTGCAAACGCACCCTTAGACAGAAGGAGCAAGTTCCTTCCAACGTTCCGTGGCAGAGCAGGACGACTGCAGTTAACAGCGGTGCATTGTGTATTTCAACACGGCTAGAGGAGAGGACGGGAAACGCTCCCAACACATAGAAATGATACATACTCGAGGGGATGGACACCCCAAATACCCTGACTTGATCACTACCTGGTCTATGCACGTCGAGAAACATCACAGGTACCCAATAAGTATGTACAAATATCATGTATCAATAAAAACTTTTTAAAAAGCCAATGAAAAGGAGGAATAGAATTCCACTAAGCACAAAATTGCTCTTAATAACCATAAAGAAATTTAAAAAGGCAAGCCACAAATTAGGAGATTTTTAAAATTCATATGTCTCACACAGGATTTATACCATACTACACAAAGAACCCTTGCAACTCAGCGTGGAGATGATAACTCAGCAGAAAGACGGGCAAAGGACACGAATGGGGGTCTCACCAGGATGACAGACAGCACGACATGCCAGGACGCGCAGCCTCGCCAGTTGCCAGGAAATGCGAGTTAAACCCATAACAAGATCGTAAGGCCATGTGACACCCTCAATCAGGATGTCCGATAACCCTAGAGCAGGCGAGAACGTGGACCCGGGGGACCCACACAGTGCGGGGAGTGGAATTGGTGCAATCACTCTGGAAAACAATTTGGCATTATCTCGTAAAGCTGAATTTTCACACACCCTAAGAACCAACAACTGTGCACCTAATTCTACACCCAGAGAAACGTAGGCAGGTACACCAGGTGACATGTACAAGAATGGCCACCACAGCATTGTTCAAAATCCTTTTTAAAAACAGGAAAAAAATATCCACAGATGGGAAAACCGATAAAGAATTATGGCATTCGCACAATGGAATATTATACAGCAATGAAAATGAACACGCTATAGCCACATGCAACAACATGGCTGAGTCTTTGAAACACAGTGAGTTTGAAAGATGCAAGTCCAGAGATATCAAACAGTACATGCCATGCTTCCAAAGCTCAAAACTAAAACCAAGCTAAACCATGTATTTTTTTATGGATAAACACTTAACTTTAAAAAAAAAAAAAAGCAAAGGAATTATATATAGAGAGACACAAAATTCAAGTTACAGGTTTCCTCTGGGGAGGGGGCAGGCAGGGTTGGGGGAGGCACAGCCTAGGCAGCCCCAGGTCCCTGATGACATTCTGGATCATAAGTGGGAGGTCATACGCACAGGGGAGCGTTTTATTCTTGTGCTTCAGAGCATAGTTTACACATATTTGTATGAATCAAATACCACATAATAAATATTAATAGATGAAGGAAGAAAAATCTTTTGTATTTCTACAAAAAATCTTTTGTATTTCCACAGATATAGGTTAAAAATAAGCCAAATCTCACACACACACACACACACACACACACACACACACACACACACACATTCCTACCCTCTCAACATCAGCCTTAGCTCCCCACACACCCCCAAGGGAGCCCCTCACCACCCCTCTTCCACCTCCAGCAGCATCAGAGGGACCTCAGAAGCCCAGCACCAGGGACAGGGAGGGCATCACCGACCCTCCCACCACCCTCCAGGTCTTTGGACCCCAGAATAGACCCAGGAAGGAGCCAGTTCCAGAGAAGAAGCCGAGTCCCCCAGGACAGCAGGCAGAGGAACCCCACGTGGCTCAATTCCACAAGCCAAAATGTGTCAGCCCCGGAGCAGAAACACGAGGGTTCACTGGCCGTGTTCGAACAGCGCTGGGCAGACGCGCTTCCCCGGTGCATCCCAAGCCTGAACCGGCATCAGCGCGGAGCAGGTGGGAGGCAGAAAAGAGGGATGGCAATATCCCACAGAACACCTGGCAGCCTCCCAGGGTCTGGCGACATGGACCTGCAGGTGGGGCAGGGGCTCGGGGGGACGGGTTCCCCTTCATCCCTTCCCTGCCCCCGGCTTGCGGCCGTGGCTTTCCCCAGCACTCACCTCTGCAGCTCCTTCAGGGAGACGGTGACCCGCAGACCGTGGCCCAGGACGTAGAGCGCGGCCAGGATGTCCGCCCACTGCACCATCTCGCCCAGGGGCCCGCCCTTCAGGACCCGCGGGCTGAACACGTCCCCGGACTCCTCTGTCAGGAAGCCGATGTGGACCAGGATCTGGGGCGGCAGGACACAGAGGGTCAGCCGCTCAGTCCTGCCCCGCGCACCAGCCGGGGGACAGCCAGCAGCACACACTGTCCCCAGGCTGGGCCTGGGCAGGTGCTTTCTGGCACCAGAGTGACCACGCCGGGCATCGGGGACACAGATGAGAAAGACAGTCGCGTGCCTGCCCTCTCGGAGCTATGCTCAGATGGGAGAGGTAGACAACAGTACACAGACAGACATCATATCGTGAAACGCTAAGGGCTCTGAAAGAAATAAAGGGGCGACGTGAGAGAGCCGTGTAAATGTGGAGGGAGGGAAGGATGAGCCAACAAACCTCCCAGACGGGCCACATTACTCCCAACCTGCCACCGCTGTCGTGGCTCTTCTGCCGGACAGGCACCGGGTGTCCCCGGAAGGCACGAGCCCTCGGGGGCCTGTCACTCTCCCCAGCCTTGAGAAGGGCCGGGGCCACCACAGCATCTATCTAGACTCCGCCACCTGACCCCTCTCTCCCCGAGCACGCCGCCCTGGCTCCCTGAGCTCAGCCCCCCGAGTGTGCAGAGGACCCGCACCTGCTTGTGGTCCCGCCGGGTGTCCCCCAGCTTCTGTGCCAGGCGCTGGGCGGCCAGCGCCCACTGGGCCGAGAGCCGCTTGGTCCGCTTCTTCATGAAGATCAGGGACTCCTTCCCGCTGCCCATCAGCTCCAGGAGGTGGGACAGGTTGCTTCGGAAGACTGCCTGGAGGGGACGGGACCTCAGTTCTCCCAGCCCCAAGACCCGCGGCCATACCACCACCATGCCCGCTGGCCTGGGTCCAGGGGCTGTGGCACTGTCCCGTGAGGCCAGGGCCTGCTCCAGCTCCCTCCACATGCCAGCCCCCGAAATCAAGGAGCCCCACTGTCACCCTGCAACGCCCCCCCCCCCGACCATCCAACGGCCACCCGCCAGCCCAGCTCCAACCAACCCCGTGCCCCGAGCCCTTCCAGGGAGGTGGCCAGCAGTGGCAGTCCCCAGGGAGCCCAGCCGCTACAGTGAGGACAATGGGCAGATCCTGGGCTCCAAAGGCCAGGGTGGGGCTGAGCCGGCGCCATGGTAACTGTGTGCCTTGAACCCGTTAACTCAGCCTGCAGCCTCAGCTTCCTCCTCCATGAAGCTCGGTCTCGGGCGCATGGCCGGGAGATTAAGTACAAATAAAGTGTCTGGTGCACAGAAAGCCCTCAGTAGTGACAGCTATTGTTACTATTATTCTAGCCCATTAAGGGGGTCCTGGGCGGAGGCCTGGCTTGGCAGCATCGGCAGAGGGCAGAAGGGCACTACAAGGCTGGCCTCCCGTCTGTCCAACAGCACGGGCTGGGACCCGCCCGGCCACCTAGCAGAGCTGGTCGGTCTCATTCCGCCCACAGCAGAGGCTTCCTGCCTCGGTTCCCCGAGAACGTCCAGCCTGGGAGTCCAGCCGGCACGCCCACCAGCCCCTCACGGGCTCCCCTGCCTCCCAGGCCTACCTGGACTTTGGGGAGGGGCTTGGGGGCCGCGCGGGCAGCCGTCTGGTTCCTCCAGGGCAGCGGGGGGCAGAACCACTCGACCTCGCTGAGGTAGATGAGGAAGGAGCACTCGGTGCCGTCCACCCCGAAGAAGGCGTAGCAGGGGTCGGAGGTCCAGCGGGCACGCATCCACTGCGGAGACGCCAGGCCTGGGCGGGCAGCCAGCGCCAGCCCCCCACTCCCCGGCAGGCTCCCTCTACATGCGTGTCCCCAGGGCCCTGGGGTCCCCCAGGTTGTGGCCCACGTGGCACCCTAATGGTGCAGCAGCAAGGGCCAGAGCAGAGAAGCTGAGCCAGGACCCCAGAGCAGGAGCGGCAAGACCACCATCCCAGGCCCGGAGGGAGGAGGACCTGGAGACAGGGCCAGGTTGAGGTTCTGGGGCAAAGAGCTAGAAGGCGCAGCACCTCGGGGCTGGCTGTCTCCCTTGTCCTTCCCCGTTTCTCCTCCCCAAGCAGGGTTCAGCTAGAGGTCAAGGGCAGGGGGCAGCCTCCAAGGGGGCAAAGGCTGGGGCCAGGGCAGGACCCACCCAGGAAGGGTTTGCAGTGCCACTGCGCCCCTTAGGGAGCTCAGGACCAGTGAGGAGCTAGTGTTTTGGCTGCGACTGGCTCCCGCAGGGACAGACTTCATGCATGAGGTGGGCCAGGGGGCTCTGTCCAGCTGCTGGCTGGGCCGGGAGAAGTGAGGACAGAGGGCTGGTGGTGGCGTGCATATATTTAATAGTTCATCTGCTGTAAAAAGGCACTCCAGGCCCCGAGAGAGGCTCACCCCGCCCGAGAGTCTGGGCTGATGGGCCGGGCGGACGGGCTGAGCAGAGAAGCTATTTCCCTGGGCCCGGCTTCTGCCTGGCTGGCGCCTGGGGCAGGGTCGGGGCTGGGCAGAGAGCCCTCCACAGTGATGTCCCAGCCGGGAGCAGAGCCCTGGAGTGAGCCCGGGACACAGCCCGGCAGGGGAGCCGCCCGCTCCTGCCTAGCCCCCTGCCCCAGGCCTCACCTCCACCTTCGCCGAGCAGTCAGGGAACTTGGGGTCGCTGGGCGCCTCGCACTGGTCCCGCCGGCTTTCTGACACTGTAGGGAGAGGTCAACTTGCCAACCGGGGCCAGGGAGGAGCCGGGGAGACAGGCATGAGGATTGCACTGGCCTGGGCGGAGGAGCAGGGGCAGTGGCCCACATGACCCTGTGCCTGCGTTTTCTCACTAGCTGCACAGCCCACGTGCAAGGGCGTCCCCGGGCCTGTGTGGCCTCTTCTACGTGCCCAGCCTCCTTGGGGAGTTGAGAACCAGCCAGGAGCTGGTGTGAACAGACCTCGTGCACCCACCCACACGCACCCCCAACTCTTCCCAAGCAGAGCAGAAGAGCAGAGATGAGGCTTGCACCCCACATCATGGGGAACCCGGGGGCTGCCTGGGACCCTGGAACTGTTGACCCCAGCAGCTGAGGCTCCAGGGGCCTCCTCTGTCCTCAGCACCCACATGCCAGGTCGGGTGGGGTGAACCCCAAGTCCCCCTGCCAAAAGTGGGGCTCCAGAGAGCCAGGAGAGCTGCTGTCAGGAGGGGCTGGGTCCCACCCCAGGTGTCCCGCCTCCCCAAGGCCCACCCAGTCCCCAGTACATCGGCTTGCTGGGGACAGCGGGTGGCCCGGGCCGGGCACGCACCCTTGCTGTGCAGGAGCAGGCTGTGCCGCAGGATCTGGTCCACCTTCACGGCGATGTCGGACACGTTCTGGGCAATGGCCTGGATCCGCTCCATGAGGCCAGCCCCAAGGGCCAACCTGGGTGGGGAGAAGCCGGAGGTGAGGCTTGGACCCTGCCTGGGTGACCTTCCCAGGAGCGCCCGCCAGTAAGGTCGGAGGGCAAAGGCAGCAGGACCTGCAGTGTTCCAGGCACCTGGACCCACCCCAGGGGACGGAGGGGCAGGAGATGGAGCTGGCTGCCCGCCCCGTCCAGTGCACACGAGTTTGCAAGCAGGGGAAGCACCCACATCTGCAGGTGTAGGGCATGTCTGCACGTGTGCCCACATCTGCATGTGTCCATATCTACACGTGTGCCCATATTTACATGTGTGCCCACATCTGCACACGTGTGCACATCTGCACATGTGCCCATATCTGTACGTGTCAGGCATGCCTGTGCGTGTCGCACACGTGTCAAGGTTGGTGACTGGGGCTGAAACGGGCAGAGGAATTCCATTCAAGAGCCCAGACAGGACCTGTCCGGGGACAACCCCCCCAGGTGACAGAGGCTGTTTTCCCCGGCACGCGGCTGCCCTGCGTCTGTGTCTCTGTCTCCTCCCAAGGGGCTGTCTCGTGCCAGGACAAATCCACCCACGGAAGCCCGTGGGAAATTGCCAAATATCGAAACTCTAGTGAATTATTGCTGGCTGCTGGAGAACGAGTCCTTCCCGGGATCTTAAGCGAGTCGACAGCCCCCACCGTCACAGCACCAGCCTTGTTCTCACTTTTGGAGAATTCACTTCCCTGTGTTGATTGCTACCCAACTCTCAGGGAAGTTTACTAGACATCTCGGGCAGTATTTATCTCACTGCAGAAACTTCTATTGAGATAGATTCCGCCATGCCGGGGAGTTTCTCGGTGCCAGGACCGCCCCGCCCCGGGGCCTCTCTCCGGGAAGCTCTTGCCTTCTGTAAGACATCAATCCCGGTCCCTTTGATCCCCACCTCTCCCCTGGCTGTGCGGCCCAGTTTAAGCTCCATTTATCCCCATACGAGGCGCTGGGTCTTTATTGCCTCGTATAATGGGGATTAAAGGAAGGATTTTTCCAACCTGGGCTCTGCTTGGGTCTGCAAACCCCACCCACCCTCCTCTCTGGGCTGGTGAGCTGCCCACCAGGGAAGGCGCAGTGGGGACCCCGGCGCCCACCTGCCCTCTCGGCCACCCTCCTGCCCCACCCCCGCTTTCTGTAAGCAGATGAAGGGCAGGGGCCCCACCCACGAGGGGCCAGGCAGATGCAGAGGTGGGGTGGGGTGGGGCAAAAGGCAGATGACAGGGGAGGGGAACGAGCCCCCCATGTATACACGTGCACATGCATACACATGTGCACACATGTACATGTACATACGTGTATTCACGTGCACACACACAATCCAGTCCGTCCATCCTCTTGCCCTTTAGCCCATGCCCCAGTGCCAACTTTGGGAAAAACAAACCAGGGACTCTGAAAATGGAACCGGCACAGCTTTTGTGTTGGTTTCCTCGGGCTGCCGCCACCAATCACCACGAACTGGGTGGCTTAAAGCCACACGCATTTATCCTCTCTCAGTTCTGGGGGTGAAGTCAGAGAGCAGGGTGCCGGCAGGGCTGGTCCCTTCCTCGCCTCTCCCAGCTCCGGCGGCAGCTGCCGATTGTGCCGGTCCTTGGTCGGCAGCCGTGTAATCCCAACCTCTGCCCGTCTTCCCACGGCCTTCTCCCGCCCTGCGTCTGTGTCCAAGTTCCTGCCTCAGTGACACCGGCCATGGAACGAGGGCCCACGCTAAGCCAGCAGGGCCTCATCTTAATCTGATGACGTCTGCAAAAACCCTGTATCCAAATGAGGTCACTGTCACAGGCCCTACAGGTTGGGACGTGGACACGCCTTTTTAGAGGACACCGTCCGCCCTGCACAGCCTTCTGTGTGGTCACAGAGAAGACTGAGAAGAGACTTAGAAGCCAGGTGCTTCTTTTGCTCACGAAGTCCTCAGGCAGAAGGCAGCGGGGCTCTTTCTCTTTGGTCTTCGGATCACCAGCCTTCAACTCACAGCAGTGAGTGCAAGGAGGTGAAGCTCAGCCCTCGTGAGCTGTGTGACCCTGGGCAGGTCACTTAGCCTCTCTGTGCTCAGTGTTCTCGCCTTTTACGACAGAGACGTGAATGGCAGCTACCTGGTGGAGCGGCGAGGGCTGAATGAGGAACGGCGCCAGGTGCCCAGCGCTGGGCTGTCTGCGTTAACAGCGCTGTCCCTGCCGTGGCTGAAACTGCGCTAATGGGCTTGGGTTAGAGCAGGGGTCTCAACCTCTTTGCATCCTTGTCCAGCCCAGGAGTCCTCCGGACATCTTTTCCCCTCCTCGCCCTCCCTCCACGAAACCTCAGCACCGCACGCACCGTGTGTCTGTTCACGCCCCGAGAAGGGCCACACGCCACCGTGACACCAAGATCGCTTCGCCGTCCCGAAGCAACATTCGCGCACTGAGGGCACCTGGGTTAGACCAGGGAAGGGACAGGCTGATTGACATCCCCAGGGCCCCGACACCAGTTCCCAATGACGCCTGGGGACTGCCTTCCACACCAGCCCACAGGGCCAGGACAGCCACTCCTCTGACAGGAATGCATGTTCAGGTGACCGATGAAGGTGGTGGCCGCAGCGTGGGGGCCAATGGGAAGCCTCGGATGCCTCTGGGTCAGCCCAGACGGGGCTCTGGGCTCCCGTCGCGATGGGGGCGCTCGGGCGGGGAAAGGCTGGGTGCCTGTCCCAGCTGTGACCACACAACCCCGGGATACACACAACCCGGGTCAGCGACCAGCCTGGGGAGCCTTCCAGGGGTCACTGGAGACCGTGGGACCCCAACCCGTTTCCACCCTTCCTGAAGGCAGCCAGACCACTTCTCTGAACCCCCCACGCGGTGGGGTGCAGCTGTGATGGCTGCCCCGAAACCCCAAATGGAGCCTCAGGGACAGAGACGTGCTGGGCGCCTGGCACTGCCCAGCAAGGGCCGCAAGCTCAGGGCTCCACCGCTGCAGAACGAACACCGTCCCCCAAAATCCACATCCACCTGCCATCTCAGAATGTGGCCCTGTACGGAAATAAGGTCTTTGCGGATGTCGTTAGTTAAGATGAGCTCGTACTGCATCAGGCTGGTCCTAAGTCCCATCACCGGGGTCCTTATATAAAGGCCGTGTGACAATGGAGACAGAGGCTGCAGTGACGGGTCTACAAGCCCCAGGACCCCAGGCATTTCCGCCGCCACCACCGGCAGCCAGGAGAGGCGAGAAAGATTCTCCCCTGGAGCCCGTGGAGGGATCATGGCCCTGCTGACACTGTAACTTCAGACTTGCAGCCTTAGAGCTGCTGGAAGACACATTTCTGCTGTTTAGGGCACCCAGTGCGCCGTGACTTTTAACTACAACCCTAGGAAACTAATACAGTCACCGTCTGCATCATGGAGGGAGAACGGATCTTAACACGTCACAGAGAGAGAGTCTGGGTTGTCCCGGCCGGCCCTGCTGTCGGGAAGTCCCCTCCTCCACCCATCTTCCTCCCTCTGAGGGCCGAGCTTCGATTCTGCTGCTCTCACGGGGCAGGGAGAAATCGAGGGATGCCCCTGGTCTTCAAGCCCCGGGTCAGTGACTGTCCACGTCATTCAGAGATTTATTGGAAAGAGTGGGAGCCTTGAAGTCGGAGGGCCTGGATTCAAATCCCGACTCTACTCCACAGCTGCGTGACCTTGGACAGGTTACCAAACCTCTCCGAACTCAGGTTTGAACTCCTACAAAATCTGAATAACAGAGTTTTGTGGGGAAGAGAGAGGAGGCTGAAGGTAGAGCACCCGGCATACAGCAGGTGCTCAATACGTGCTTGATGTGCTTCTGCTGCCCACTTACAGCAGCCATCCCATTCCCCAGAGCTCTAGAGCAAAGCACTTTACTGTTTTGGGGGACTCAGCACTTTCCCTAGGATACGTGCTTCTGCATGAAACACCCCACTAGCACTGGTTTTAAATAGTGCAGATGGCATCTGTCTGATTTAACAAGTTCTACTTGTTCAAAACAGAATTACTTGGTGTCACTATTATTATACTGGACTTAGCATTTGCACAGCACTTTCTATTTCCAAATAATATATGATTAGGCTTCGCTCCCTGTGAAGCTTTGCTAAAAATGACAATAAAAGTAGATGTCGTGAAGCCTCAAACCACAGCAGATCCGTGACCTGGGAAATGCATGGGTGGGGAAGAGAACAGGGCGGGGCCGGCAGGGGGATGGCGGCCTCCCCCCGATGGGGCCCGGGGAGCACAGCATCCAGTGCCATCAACAGGGGGTGGTGGCACCGGGGCTGCCTTCTCCACCCGGGCCAGGAGGGGCAAGCTGGGGTTCACAATGCTTTCAGGGACCCTTGAAAAGGTTTGGCTTTCTTTAAAAATTGGGGTGGGGGCCAAACGCGGTGGCTCACACCTGTAATCCTAGCACTCTGGGAGGCCGAGGCAGGTGGATTGCTCAAGGTCAGGAGTTCGAAACCAGCCTGAGCAAGAGTGAGACCCCGTCTCTACTATAAATAGAAAGAAATTAATTGGCCAACTAATATATGTAGAAAAAATTAGCCGGGCATGGTGGCGCATGCCTGTAGTCCCAGCTACTCGGGAGGCTGAGGCAGGAGGATCACTTGAGCCCAGGAGTTTGAGGTTGCTGTGAGCCAGGCTGACGCCACGGCACTCACTCTAGCCTGGGCAACAAAGTGAGACTCTGTCTCTAAATAAATAAATAAATAAAAATTGGGGTGGGGGAAAGAAACCTTGTAGAAAATGTCATAATAAGTAACGTTAATATATTCGTCTTTATACCACTGTAGTCATAACATACAATCTTTCCTATGGGTTGATTGTCCACCTCCCCCCACCACCGCCATTTATACGCTGTAGTCCTAACAGCTCAGAATTTGGCTTCATTTGAAAACAGGGTCACCACAGATGTAGTTAGTGAAGTTACTATGAGCTTGCACTGGAGCAGAGCGGGTCTCTAATCCAATGACGGGTGTCCTTATAAAAAGGGGAAATGTGGCCCCAGA